TCTTTTTGAGTTATGTAGTTGGTTTCGGGGAGTTCTAGTGTTTCTTCATTTCCAGTACTATTCCTAATTTAGTAATCCATTTATTCGTCTATTCATTGTGTGTATTTTGATTTTCAACTCTATATACGAGGCACGCATAGAGAAGTGGCATTCGCATTAACGCTAATAATATTAAATAGTATGATCAGTTCTTCGTCTCCTGGTTAATTATTTTTTAGTTAATTAATTAAGCTTAAAGTTTGAAAGGTTGACGATTGCCAAAAGGTTATCAGGGTTTGTATCAGTGTACCAGAAATAAAAGGGTTTCTTAGCACCCCCACGTAGTTCGGATTATATTACTTGCATGGTACACATTCCATCTGATTTGCAACTTGTTTTTTTTCACTTTCCGATTCATGATTACAAATCTCAAATAATGATATTAAATCGGATTATTCATTCAATATGAGCTGAATATATTTGATTCGAATTAAATTAATTATTATATAATAATTTTACATGAATAAATATTTTGTTGTTGTCGTGAGAATAATGTTCTCTTATTAGACAGTTAGAAGACGAAAGTTGGGTATATGATTCCAAATCAAAGCGTCATGTTGGAGCATCGTTCTCCTTCATGAATGATAGTGCATGTTTATCATTATTTGTTAGTTGGCCCCAACATTAATTGAGTATTTCTTTAAAGTGAAAGACAACGTTTGATTAAATTTCTCCTAGAGTTTTTCTTTATGGATGCCTTTTTATCTAATACCCTAATTATCACATATTTCTGCCTCTGTTGTAAAATAAAACAAAATTTGGAAAATTTTCATTATAAAATAACGAGGTTGGCGTTTTTACAAGAAACATAAAGCCGAACTTTTGTGGAATATTCTCATTATCTAAGACCGTCTCCAATCTTTGGGTTAAACTTAAAATTTTTTATTCAGAAAAAATTTATGTTTTAATCCAGAAGCAGTTTTTTTCTCAAATGATCCTAAGTTAAAATTTTATCTCGAGATTATTAAAGAATGAATTTAGGAGGAAAAAAAATTTGGTGACTTTATTTAAAATAAAATTTATGTAGATTATCTAAAAGTTGAAAATTCACTAAACCGACCCATGAAACATGTATTTATAGAATTTTTGGGTGAATTTTGATTTAGATTTTTTTTAATTGTTAGCTGTTGAATTTAATTTTGAGTTGTAAGAATTCGATCTCAGTTGTTAGATTTAATGTATTGAAAGATTTAAAATTTAAAATTAAATAGGCTTGAGTTTGGATCGTTGGATCGAAAAAGAGTTGTTGGGCTCGTTTTGGGTAGCCAACATTCTAATCACGGGCGAGCCCCACTTCTTGTAAGCCCTCACGCCTTTGGTGTGTTAGGCTCGTCACTTTGCTGTGACCTCCATTTTTTTGGGCTCGTCCACATGCATAAGATGTGCCAACCTTTGACCCTAGCGGGAATTCTGGGTTAAATTTGCCCAAATTTTAAGTTTTAATTCAAAACATATTTTAGCTCAACCATTAGACAAGGATTGGCTTAGTTTATAACCTGAATTTTAGGTTTCAATCGAATGGTTGAAGATGGTCCAAAAATATTATGTTTTTTGCAACACAAGGTTTCTTTTACTAATGTTTTAAGGTTATAATAAGAGCGAATTTTGTATAGTTACGACATACGGCAACAGTCACAATAAAATTGAATTAGATGAGACTAAAGTACAAAAAGTTTTCCTTCTTATATTGTAAGTGTATATGTTGTATTACGTAAAGTTGTACTTATCTTGCATGTATTTACTATTTAATATAAAACTAAATCACAACAAATTGGAAAGAGATAGGAGAGCGAATCACGTATAGGTTGTCTCATTAATAATTTAATCCCTCATTAATCTATTATTAGTCAGCAACATCGAGAAAGCATGTGATTAGGGTAAGACACCAAACACAGTGACAATGCTCTCTCTCTCTCTCTCTCTCTCTCTCAGCCAGCCGCTAGCTTGCAGCTGCATGCCGGTTTAGCTTAACGTGGACCCGCCAAATCGATGACGAAGAAATGAAGATTATAACGACGCATATTCTGTTCTCCAAATCGACCACTAGCTCATCCCATCTTTGTACCACACGTCAACCCCCACACAATGCCGACCCATTTCCAACTATACATACAAATATATACACACACACATTATTTTCATTATCAACCCCTATCACCCCTTCACTTTGATTTTAACAACACTCCTGTTTCCGCGAATTAGTATGGTATTCGTTATTTATAAAATTTGAATAATAAAATCTTTCACTTACAAACAAACATATATTATTAAACTGTAATACTAAGTAACATTTACTTATATATTTTAATGAAAACAAGGTAAAAGTATTCAATATCTACTAAACCTCAAAGATCTAACAAGGCCTAACGACCATGTCGCCATTACCACTTAATATGGGAATTAGTCCAACTTGGCTCGATGTAATCAGATGACGCAGGATCAGCTAAATGGGAAAATTATCCAATAAGTTGTGGCCCAGTCATGGTCTATGAATTTTTACTATAAGAATCCCCAACAAGATCCTCTACGGATCCTTTTGGTGAGGATCTTGGGGATCTGTAAATTGTATCCGTTCATTGTACATTGTGTGATCAATTTTTGTCAGGTACTGTTTGTGTTTAATTTTAAATAAAAATATTTAAAATAATTTTTGACCATACGATGTACGATGAACGAATATAATTCACGGATCCTCGAAATCCTCACAAAGAGGATCCAACGAGGATCCGGATTCTAAGAATCCCACGAACTAAGAGCCCTTAATGAGAGGCTTTATCAATCAAACGCAAGGCAATAAGTCTCAAACACATCACTTAGAGCATCCATGTGTATCACAACCAGCTACAATCACACTCAATTCTACTAGTATACAAGAACATGATGCTTGCCACTTAGTATTACGGTCTAGTGAAATTCCTCCTCACTTGCAAGTGAGGGGTCTTAGGTTCTATTCCAGCAAAAATGAGTTTGAACCACATTATTATTAGCCCATTGTGAGACTAAGTCTATCCCTTCTCCCTTAATATAGATAATATCATTTGTTTAAAAAAAAAAAAACATGGCGCTCCTAAATTCTCATTCATCTTCTAAAACCTTGACTCACATCAAACTGGTGAGACAAGGCTTAACATGTTAATTCATTCTTGCTTGTAGAGACATCAAGGTAATTCTAATACATAGCCTCGTTTGGTATATTTTTTTATTTTTTTTAGCATTTGTTGAGTTTTTGAAAATTCAACCTTAAGTCATCTTTGGTTTGTATATATACGAGTTAGGATCCGGAAACACTCATTTATGACACTCATTTGTATGGTCAACTTTTTAATATATTTTAACGACCCGAACTGTTTAATTTTAATACATCATTCATAGATCATTCTTGAAAAAAATTAAACAAATCCAAAACTCTTAAGACATTCATTTGTAGTGAATAATATGCACAAATACACTTCTAGAAAGAAATACTAAATTTAATCCAACAACCATATGATTTCGGATTTGAGTGATTTGTGTTAGACATGACCATTGAGGTAAGACCCAAAAAATAAACAATTGGATCGTTAAAATACATTACGGAGTGTGCTCCATAAAAACGTGCATCAAAAGCGTATATCTCCGAATCCTAACCATATTTTCAACTTTTTATTATCAAATAAGTCAAACTTGTTCTTCAAATGTTTTGTTGTATGAAATATTTAATGGCATAACATGATTTGAAGAATAATATCCTTTGCATATTATGTATATATCATTTTTATGTAATAATGTAGTGGGTAGGGTACATGGTCAAGAATCAAATCAAAGTCCTATTCTAATCCTGTCTATCTTTCTCCCCACACTTTCTCAACATTTTACGTTATAACATTTCGTGAATTATAACCTAAATTTGGTTATATTTTTCTTTCAGTCTCATGTGTCAAGCTTTCCATTTTTTCTGCATATTTTGTACTTACACATAAAAAAAAAAAATATATATATATATATATATATATTTCTTATTTAATAGAAATACCTTTATGTAACGAGTAGTTTTAACGAAAAGTCCACGGTACTGTTCACTTTAATGAAAAATCACATTTTTACACTAAAAAGTCAAACCTGGTACCATTCACTTTACCATTTATTTTGTTCTTATCATTAAAACTCAAAGTTTTCAAATTATTTTCATTAGTTTTCCTTAAATATAACCGTTTGTTTCTTTTGCACAAAGTAATCTAAATAGAACATGGAGATGTGCAATCAATCTTGGGTCAGACGTCCCCCATCTTCATTGATTCACATTCTCAATAAGGATGACCTTCCTTGCCCTCCGAAAGTGTTGAGTGTTGTGGTGGTGTGGTGGGATGGCGTTGAGCCTTTGTTGTAGCGTCTCTTGGTTGTTGTCCCGCTTACTGCCCGTCTTTTGTTTTGCTTAGCTTGTCCCTCTGTGGACGCTCCTTGGATTGTTGGTTGTTGGCTGTTGCCCTGGTTATGCTTATTTCCAGTCTTCCAAAAAAAAAAAAAAAACATAGAAAAAGTTTGAGTCGAACTTTGACATCAAATAAAGAAGTAAAATGCTTTCAACTGTCATAATAGCTATACAAGCCTACAAGCCACCACCTGAAAAACCATTATCATCAATTTCTTGTTAAAACTGTTTTTTATCATTTTAAATTTTAGGATGGATTTGACAATTTGGTTTTTGTTTTATTTCTGGTATTAGTTAAAAAATAAGGAAAAATAAATGTAAGAAAAGAGAAGAAGAAATAAGAACAAGACATATAACAGAAATGAACAATAAAACTAAAAAACGTTTATTTTCAGACAACAAAAAACGTTGTGAAAACTGTTTATTTTTTTTTAATAATTTGATAAAGTAAAAAAACTAAAACGTGAAAAAAAAAAAACTAAATTATCAGAGTGGAAGAAAAAGGTGATTCCAAACGCTGTAGTGCTATAAATTCCCAGTTCCCACCATTCCCTGGAAATTCCTCTCTCTCTCTCTCTCTCTCTCTCTCTTCTTTCCTCTCTCTAAATTCTTGAGTCGGCGTTCGGTTGAAGAAGCTCGAGCAATCAGCAATGGAGGTTCTTCTCTGAGAGGGAGCGATATCGGAGCTCTGGTTTTTCCAAATTCGGAAGCTTTGGGGAGGACGTAGCTGCTTAATCAGTTGATTGCGAACTGAGGAAGAAGAAAGGTTGCAGCTTCAATGGCGGTGGAGTACGAGTGCTGCACCAGTGGATTCTTCATTCACATAGTGGTCATCGTGCTGCTGGTGCTGTTCGCGGGGCTAATGTCCGGGCTCACCTTGGGCCTCATGTCCATGAGCCTCGTCGATCTCGAAGTCCTCGCCAAGTCCGGGACGCCGAAGGATCGCAAGCACGCCGGTACGGCTTCTGATTTTGATTTTGGTTCTGAATTTTTGTTTTGTTTCGTTTTGAATTCTCTGTTCTGTTTGGCTGCTGGGAAAATGCGAGAAAAGGTGGACAGAAAATGGTGTGGGACCCTATTTGATGTTTATTTCTACTATTTTTAGTATAATCTGGATTGTTGTTTTTGTATGGATTTCGATTCGAGGTTAGTTGATTATAAGGAGATGGATATGATTGTTTGGAATTGGATTGTTCAGCTGTGGAAATATTTTGCCCAATTATATTGATAATTTCACTTATCCTTGTTAAAACATGAAACTTTAGTTCTCCATTGGCATGAATAGTGATGTTTTGAGAGAAAGGGTGTGTCAGTGTTGGAATTAAAGAATGAAAAGTGATTTCGTGAGAATTAGAGCCCGTTTGGGATTGCTTCTCGCAGGGCTAAAAGCGCTTTCTGGCAGCCAAAAGCGACATCTTCCATGAGGATTAACTGGGTTTCTTCTTTGTTTAATGTCTTGTGTTATAAGGAATCTGTAAATTTACTTGAAAGATATAGCATAAAGGTTCCCATGGAAAAAGAATGTTTTTGTGCAAGGGTTTTTAGCTTTGTAAAGATAGATTCGGTTGTACTAGCTTCATTTGATATTGATTTGGACAATGCAGTTTAGCTAATCATTTCGCCTGTCTCTGTATCCTGTTTCTAATTGCAGCGAAGATATTACCAGTTGTCAAAAACCAGCATCTGTTGCTTTGCACCCTGCTGATTTGCAATGCTGCTGCAATGGAGGTACATGTTATTGATGTTTGTTGGAAAAGATACTAACTTCAATAAAATAATAATAAAAGGTAAGACGATATTGAAATCTCTGTTCCTTCTCTCAGACACTCCCAATTTTTCTTGATGGTTTGTTGAAAGCTTGGGGTGCAATCCTCATTTCTGTGACACTGATTCTTCTGTTTGGCGAGGTAAGTGATATATCATTTTGTTTGTATTGTAGGATGGCCTAGAACATCGATAGTTGAAGTTTGTAAGTCTGACTTCTGCGAGGATGTTTTCATTTTGTTAGTTATTTATGATCTGAACTAACTGGCTCTTTGAGGCAACACTGAGAGGGCATATCCACAACCCAACACTATGTTGATGTTCATTGGTTTGCTTGAGAAAAATTACTTTGAGAACGTAAAGTTAGTTTTAGCATCACAATGTTGATATACCATTGTTACATGTATATTTGAAGTCATTGACGATATAAAACACGCCATGTGTGTGCCACTAACTTCTGTTTCACCTGTGTGTGCAGATTATACCACAATCTGTTTGTTCCCGATATGGTTTGGCTATAGGCGCAACAGTGGCTCCAGTTGTCCGTGTTCTTGTTTGGATCTGCTTTCCTGTTGCATATCCTATTAGTAAGGTATGATAGTTTTAGCACTTACTTTTTTCTTTGCAATTTCTTATGCTAGCGGAATGAGGTCAACTCTCTGACTGTTACGTTCTACGTGGTTTCCAGCTATTAGACTTTCTGTTGGGCCATGGACATGTAGCTCTCTTTCGCAGAGCTGAGTTGAAAACGCTTGTAGATATGCATGGCAATGAGGTACATATGACAGCTCTCTTAAATTTAATTGTCAACTGTCATATCAGCTTCATCATTCTTCTGTAATTCTTTCGTTGGGTCTTTTTCTCACTTCTGTTTTTAGAGTACTTACGACCTGCCTCATAACCATATGTCTATCTTGTTCTAGGCCGGAAAAGGCGGAGAGTTGACACATGATGAAACAACCATTATTGCCGGAGCACTTGGACTCTCTGAGAAAACGGCTCGTGATGCCATGACTCCTATAGCTGAAACTTTTGCGATCGATATCAATGCCAAGCTTGACAGGTTTATTATGCTTTACGAATTATAGCAGAAAATACTTTTGTTGACTGTATGATAATATTTTGATTTCCAACCCTAAATGCTCTGCTTATCACACAGGAATTTGATGAATCTAATATTGGAGAAAGGGCATAGCAGAGTACCGGTTTATTATGAGGAGCCGACAAATATTATTGGACTCATCCTGGTAAATTTTTAACAATGCCCTTTTCTATACATCCCAAGTTCCCAACATGCAGGTTAAAACCAATGTAAATCAGAGTTAACTTGGGTTAAATATCTCTATCAACTTTGAGTCTGAAAATATCTGCGCATAGGCAATTTATTTGACATGTTGAAACGCTGTGCTATGAAACTTAAACAGGTTACTAAAATAATTGTAATCCAAAGTCATGTTGAGTTAATTGGTGCTTAAATTTCGAGCATGGTTGACAAGTTAATGTATCTTGTTTTCTGCTTTCATTCCATTTGATTTATCTTGATTTTGGTTTGCTATATTTTTCTTTGTGACATACTTCTCTCAACTACTGAAAATTCAAAATTTAGGTAAAAAATTTGTTAACAGTGAACCCAGAAGAAGAAGTACCTGTAAAGAATGTCACTATACGCAAGATTCCAAGGTATTTTGCGTTGATTTAAGTTCACGTTTGTTGTAGGATTAATTTCAGTACAAATTGAAGATGATTTACATAAAATGATGTTGTACTCTCATTTGTTTGATAGGGTTCCAGAAATGTTGCCTTTATATGACATATTGAATGAGTTTCAAAAGGGTCACAGTCACATGGCTATTGTTGTAAGAAGGTGCAATAAGAATACGGAGCAGACTAATGGCATTCCGGGTGACAGTAAGTACCTGTTTCCTACTGTAGAATGCCTTGACAATTTCCTTAGCGAGAAATTTTCCATCCGCCCCTTCAAACTCTACGAACGGACTTTTTTGTTTTTTTGTTTTTTCATTTTGGGATAGGCTGATTGTAACTGTTCTCTATATCTCCCTTAATAGGTCCAGTGAAAGAGGTGAAAGTCGACATTGACGGTGAAAAGCCTCTTCACGAGAAGTTGAAGAGCAAAAGATCACTGCAGAAGTGGAAGAGCTTTCCGAATTCAAACAGTGCAAATAATTCATACAGGACCGGGTCCAGAAGCAAGAAATGGACAAAGGAGATGTACTCAGACATCCTGCAGACTGATGGTGAGCTCCCCAAACTACCTGAAGAGGAAGAGGCTGTTGGCATCATAACAATGGAAGATGTTATCGAAGAACTTTTACAGGTACTAGATCTCATTTGAAGCACTATTTCTATATTTCGATGCATCATAATTTTGCTAACGAGGCCTCGTATCGTGACCTCAAATATTGGTATTGTAGGAGGAGATTTTTGACGAGACTGACCATCAGTTCGAGGACTCATAACACCGGCATTTCTTGGAAGCAGAGTGTCTTGTGTCTGTAAGTGCTGAACTAGGTTTGTTAGAAAACTCTACAAAAACTGTATTAAATAGTCATACGGTTGAGAAGTTAATGGATATATGGAATTAAGTACTCTAGTATTAGTATCTGCGTATGTCAGAGATGAATGTCAAAACTTTTCTCCACCCAATGTTGTGAATATTTTGGATTTATGGTAAATGAGCAGGCTTTTCGTAACACATGGACAACGCGCACGCATCGCTTTGTAGCGTTTACAATGCTTTGACAAATATATACCTCTACATGTCTGCTGAATATGAACCAGGAATTGGGTCTCGCGAGTAAAAGCCTTTCGTACTCAGCAGCAGTTGCACAAGTTTTTTCTTCCGTAAAAAACCGGGCTTAAAAAGATAGATCCGAAAAGGAAGTCTTGAATATAATTTTCCAACTTGAAGACGAACAAGAGGAATCTGAAATACAACTCCGTCTTCGTTTTCGTTTGCATTTTCAATAACAGTGGTTGCGTTGCGCATCAACTCCGTACAAGGCTACAAGCATGAAAAATTGCGATATATATTTCAGATTTCGCCTTCAAGTTCCGATCAAATATCTCTACAAACTAGGATGACCCCTCCTATAAAGCGCCTCTTAAGTATGGCATTTACTTCTTTTCTCGTCCTTCCTCTTCTTCTTCTCGTCCTTCCTCTTTTTCTTCTTCTCTTTAGATTTTTCCTTGGATTTGTGCTTGTTAGAGCTACCAGACTTCACCTTTTTATATTTCTTCCTCTCATTGTCGAGCTCCTCTTCAGAAGAATAACATAATTTATGTGAAGGCCTCTCTGGTCCATACACACGGCGTTCTTGTACACTGGGGCTCTGTGGCAGCGCTTCCTTGGAGTCTGAACAACGGGGAAGATAAGGGCCTGTTTCGTCCATCCTTGACCCAACAGCACCTCTGCCACGCTTGATTCTGTCATACAAGGAAATTCATGCTAATTAGTCATATATTCTCTCCCACGCGGGAGGTGGGGAGGAACACACAGAGAGAGAGAGAGAGAGAGAGAGAGAGATACCTTGAATGTAAAAATTCTTCAAGTTCTTCATCCCTTAAACCATTCTCTTGCCTTGAATGACAGCTCTCATATTCTCTTTTCCTTGACGAGCAAGAAGGACCAGCACTATCATCTGGGACAGCACGTCCCTTACCGCTGCTTCTTGGAGAGTTACTGTCTCTCTGACTCCTGTCATTTCTGCTCTCATCCTTCTTCCCCTTAAGCCTATTGTCCAATTCTCTCTCTTTCTGCCGGAGTCGCCACATCTCATTCACTTCAACAACTCGATTTGCTGGAGAAAACAAACGAAAATAAAAAACTTTAGCTGAATGACACAGCAGTCACCAAACAAATAAAACATGGTGCGTATGAAAATTCTGATTGTACTTTTAACATAAAACCAATAGAACCTCATACATGCTAACAAAAACATACTAGGCGCATCATGGATTTCTAGTTACACAATTTGATGCAAGCTAGGGAAGGCAACAGTGCATGATCCAAGACCTTTTCAGAAACCGGTAAGTGTCTACTTTTTAAAAAAGAAACGTCTACACTCATAAGGATTGTTTTTACTCCAAAATGGAATTATGAAGTCCTATTACAACTAAATTACAAATACAGCAGTATAGGAACTGACCTTGTTGCACGCCACGAACAGTAGCACTGAGGAACCGTGAATTTGGCCGAAATCTTGTTTTAGGTTGTTGAAGATAAGCATGCACACCTTCCTTCTCAGCTTGACGCCGCAATTCAGCGGCTTCTCTCATAAGAATTGAAGCTATTCTGTTCTCTGTTTCAAGATCCATCTAACCCTTATAAGCAACTTCCTGGAAAAAATAAATACAGTAAATAGTCTTGATAAGTTTGGAATCACAGAAAACTTAATATGAATGTGAAAAAAGAGTAGGCACATGTCAACAAGCTATTGGTTGTTAAAACTTTAGAAAGAAAAAAAGGGAAAGAGATCCTCTCCGGATCTCTTCCACCAAGGCCACCGGATCACTTGATCTAGTGGCCTTGGTGAAAGAGATCCAGAGAGGATCTCTTTCCGAAAAAAAGTACACTTTATACAGAAGCAATATACACTCATGTCAACAAGCTATTCATGTTTGCTACATAATTAAGGTACCAAAGCATTTTTGGGAACAAAATTTCGAAACAGCTAGAAAACGTAACTAAATTCCAGTCCCCTTTTCTGCCTTTTTTTTGTGGTGTGTGTGTGTGTGGGGCCGGGGGGGTGGGGGGGGGGACAGCAGTGGAGGTGGATGAGTTGACATGAAGTATATATACATCATCTTCCACGGGAAGAAAATTTGAAACGAGATACAATTGATAATAAATTGCAGGCAGACTGCTAAACACGATCTATTCTAGTTACATTAAGAAGTTAGTATAATTCTCCTGGTCACTACTCTACTTTCTTAGAGGGAACCATATGGTAAAACCATACAAGAAAAAAAAAATCTTTTAGATTTACTACGATAGAAACTAATTTAAAAGCTCCGAATTCCACACATGTTTTTACAAAATTACAATCAAGAAAAATTTATAAACAAAAGTAAAGATTTCATGTTAAACGATATTGGATCTGATTTCTACTTGCAAAGTTCAAAAACAAATTGACAGTGTAGTGCGCACTGATGAAAACCCTTCTACTCTCCTTACATAAGGTATGCCGTCATAAAAGTTTGTATTATTCTTACGGTAACCCCTCTACTTGCATAAGGCCACCAAATTGGTAACATCTTGAGAAAAATAAACAAATTGATCTCCTGGACTTTCAAGAGTTACAAACTAATTCAAAAACTTAGTTCTGTACGCATCTCTCCTATATCCTAATGACCACATAGTACATACACAATTTGCAAGACGCTATTTCGGAACTTAGTAATACACAGATTACCTAAAGGAAAACCAGGCAATTTCTGGGAACATGAGCTGGGATTTTGCAGAGGGTAAACAACAAGCGTACCAAATGAAAGTATTAATCTTGAACTACGTTTTCTAATACGCCAAAACAGACTAGTCACACTTTGGCAAGTTATCTCTACAATGTAAAGTGAATGCATAGATGAAGCAAATTACCGTATGGAAACCTCAACTTTATTAGCTTCTCAAACTTTCGTATGCAACTCTCAAGTCTCAACCTGATACAAAAACTCTTCAATTAATGCAGGGGACGTTATAATACTTAAATTGATTTGAACTAAAAATTATGCAGAACCATGCAAACAGCTAAACCCACGCGAAAACTCGCATCGAAACAGCCACAGACCAATAAGAATTACAAATTTCATACAAAACCAATACAATTACAGATAATCAAGACAACCCAATACAGAAATTTGAAAATATAAACAATGAAAAATTTAACTAATTACGAAACAGGCAATCAGAATCACAAAATTAAACACAAAATCAAGTAAAAAAAGAGGGCTTTTGAAAGATACACATTGAAAAATCTGGGCTTGATGTTCTTGATCAAAGTAGTGGCCATCAGAAATCAAACTCAATCGAAATTCCAAACTCAAATTTGTGTTAACGAAAACCTAGAATCTCATTCCTACTCTTTCAAATAATTTAGCTCTCAAGAATCTCAATCAAACAAAAACCACAAAGAAAATTATTAAAAAATAAATAAATAAATAGCGGCGGTGCCTCACCCGGTGATGGCGTTTCCTCCGCCGTTAGCGGCGTCGCCGTTTGCTTCTTTTGGAGGTGATGAGAATCGAAGTCAGGACTGAGAGAGAAGGAGAGAGGAGTCTTTTTCCTCAAAACGCAAAACTTAAACGAAAATTAATGTTCGTTCGGACCAAAATACCCTTACATTGTCACAAACGAGAAAGGCAAGTTAAAAATACAATGAATCCTAGAGAAATTCACTTAATTATTTTCTGCAAAAAACAAGTATTAATATGTTTAAGCATTTTAAGTACTTTTAAGTGTTTATTTAAAAGAAAAATTAATAAAAATAATTTGAAAATTATGAATTTTAAAAATAAAAAATAAAATAAATAATATTAGAATTGATTTTTTAATATAAAAATAAACAAAATCGAAACCTTCCTTGTTTAAAAGCACTTCCAAATTATTAGGCAACGCCTTTACCCTCATTTGCTTTTTAGCGCCGCCGAGAGCTAACCAGTACTGTAGTATCCGACACTTTCTGCGATTCTTCAAAATCCAAAAATGTCTTCTTCTTCGCTGCTGCAGATTTCGATCTCGTCGTCTTCCTCCGCTTTCTTCGCCAACCACAAATTCACATTCAATTCCAGGTACTATGTTCCCACTCATAAACTCGTTTTCCTTCCAATTTTCTCAGCCGCCAAACACATTTTAACACTTAATGTTTTGCAGAGCTAATAATGCATCGCTTCCAGCAAAAGCCATCAGCATCTGCAAATGCGTCGCCACTCCGCAGGCAGAGAAGACCGGTCTCTCCCCCCCCCCCTCTTCTTTTTCTCTGAATCTATTTATTTAATGTGAAAAGTTTTAATTTTTTTGAATTTTTAATGTGAAGAGTACAAGACCCATGTGTCCCGGAATGCCAACATAGCCAAACTTCAAGCTGGGTATCTTTTTCCAGAGGTTTGTGATGAATTTCACTTGCTGGGTTTGGGGCTTGGTGTTGGGTTTCTCAGCTGGGTCTCTCAAATATGGCATTACCCTTTTGATTTACTTGTTCAATTGCTACTGCAACGATATATCTAACCTGCGTCTGTAATATGATTATGAATAAAATGTTGGGTTTACACACTTAAGAAAGACTAGTCGTTAAATTTTACTGTAGAGGCTAAATGTTAATGCTTAGTGTGGTTTTTTTTTTTGTATTTTTTGACTTATTGCTGTACCTTTTCATTAGTTTTCCTTATATTGATTGCTGTTTCCCGGTTTGTTTGTGATTTTACATTACATTGAATTGTATAGGTTGCTAGAAGAAGGGCTGCACACTTGCAGAAGTACCCTGATGCACAAGTGATTAGCCTTGGGATTGGTGACACTACTGAGCCCATTCCAGAAGTTATAACCTCTGCAATGGCTAAGGTATCTTTTATTGTCACTTTTAATATTGTGTTATCCCAGACATGATTGAATCAAATGAAAAAGCCAGTTTCGTTTTTTGGATGATCGTATGTATGAATGTGTTGAGTGACAATTTTTCGGAAAAATTGTCTCTCAACAGAATGCAACAGAGACAGCATACATGTCTGTAAATGTGTAAAGTTATTCAAATGGCGATCAAGGAATGTAGCCATTTCCTCCTTAAAATTTTGTTGATGTTGCTTTGTTTCTGTCTCCAATGTGTTTCTATTTCTATGTAAAGCTCGTATGTTTCTTTGAGGCAGTTAACATCAACCTAACCAGCCCAAGCGTTAATGTGGAAGTACCCAAACAATAAACATGGGTTGCCTTTTTTAAGATTCTTGATCTCTGATTATATGTTTCATTTATTTTTACCTCTGCTAGCCGACTAAGTCAAGTTCATTGTTAGAGTAAACTGAGCTTGATTTTGGCTGAGTTGGAAGTGTTGAGACAGTCAAGTACCCAACCTTTTGATTGAGCCAAACCAGGTAATCTAATCTAGTGACCGCCAATTATTCTCAGACCACATACGGTAGATTACCTTGTTCTCATATGTTATCCTTTGAAAATATAGGCTCTTTATCCAAACCAAGAAAAGTTTTTTTTTTCTATGAAAAGTGAAAATATTTATTTTTGTGGTACATTAGCAATGCGTTATGAGCAGCTTTATGTCAAGGATTTATACACATTCTAACACATCATTATATGTGTATTACCTTAAAAAAAAAATACAAAGTGTAACATATTGTTGTTCGGCATTTGTCTTTCTAAATCCATATTGTTTCTGATTTGCAGAGGGCACATGCTTTGTCCACCCTAGAGGGTTACAGTGGCTATGGAGCTGAACAAGGTGAAAAGGTATTTGGCCTTCTCAATAAGTTAGCTAGTTGACGAGTTTTTAAGTTATTCTATGCAATTATATCCTCCCATATATAATATTAGTGGTACTGAAGGCTAAGCCAGATTGTTAATCTGTTCAGCCACTAAGAGCTGCAATTGCCTCAACATTTTATGACAACCTTGGCATAGAGGAAGATGACATCTTTGTTTCTGATGGTGCAAAATGTGACATATCCCGCCTTCAGGTTTCATGCTTTCTATTTTATATATTTTCATGTTAACTGATTCAGACTATAACTGTGCTTATACGGGATTTGCCTTGTTTCTACCATGGTAGGTTGTTTTTGGGTCTAATGTCACAATAGCAGTGCAAGATCCATCATATCCGGTAATCTTTCATACTTATTCTTTAGTTGCCTGTTTATCTTGTCATCTCTCGTCTCTCTTGCTATTATTGTCATGTTAGGTAGGATCTTTTTGCTATTTTTAATGTACACGATTACACTCTGAATAAAGATTTTTGGACAGAGATTGGGATAAAGAAAGATCCATCTTCTTCTGTTAATGTTTAGTGTTCAAGTACTGTTTAAAACTTAGGAGAGTTTACTTTTCTTATTTGCAGGCTTATGTAGACTCAAGTGTTATTATGGGCCAGACTGGACAGTATCAGAAAGATGTTGAGAAGTTCGGAAATATTGAGTACATGAGATGTACTCCTGAGAATGGATTCTTTCCTGATTTACGCACTGTTGCTCGAACAGATATCATATTTTTCTGCTCACCAAACAACCCGACTGGTTCTGCTGCAACAAGGGAGCAACTGACACAACTGGTACAGTTTGCTAAGGATAATGGGTCAATCATAGTATACGATTCAGCATATGCCATGTATATGTCAGATGACAATCCACGCTCGATTTTTGAAATCCCAGGAGCCAAAGAGGTAATCTATAATTTGCATATTTGCAGGGCTCTTGATTCTTTGTTTTATTAAAAACTCTCTTTACCTGCTGAAAGTTTTGATAATATGGTAGAGAATAATGCTGTACACAGTTTTGTTTCTCATGGTGCATCTCCACTATAAAAATTAGTCAGACTTGGCCCAGATTGGTTGGCTAAGAATATGCATTGTACATTAGAAATTTCCTTCGTCTGTCATTTCACTTTTCACAAGCAAACCCTGTTGGACTCTTATATTTATGAATATGCAAAATTTAATTTATGTATTATGTTTCTGTGTGGCCATTGCAGGTTGCGCTTGAGACATCATCGTTCAGTAAGTATGCTGGATTCACAGGAGTTCGTCTGGGGTGGACTGTTGTTCCAAAGCAATTGCTCTTTTCAGATGGATTCCCTGTTGCCAAGGACTTCAGCCGCATTGTTTGTACTTGCTTCAATGGTGCATCCAATATATCCCAAGCTGGTGGTCTTGCTTGCCTTTCACCAGAAGGCCTTAAGGTGTGTTCTTATGTGTCTTGATTCGTTGGTAAAGTTTCAAATTTGAAATCCGCCTGCATTTGTTACAAGCTTTGGTTACATTTGTTTGATTTCTACTCCTTGTAGGCTATGCGTGAGGTGATTGGTTTCTACAAAGAAAATACAGAAATAATAGTGGAGACATTTGAATCTCTTGGCTTTAAGGTGTATGGAGGGAAGAATGCACCCTATGTGTGGGTGCACTTCCCTGGCCGAAGCTCATGGGATGTATTCAGCGAGATTCTTGAGAAGACTCATGTGGTCACCACACCTGGGAGTGGTTTCGGATTTGGGGGTGAAGGTTTCGTCAGGGTTAGCGCTTTTGGTCACCGGAAAAATGTATTAGAAGCTTGCAAAAGGTTCAAGCAATTATACAAGTGAGCCGGAGTGTCTGCCTCGCGAGGCTAGTATCTGCTGTCTAGTATATTTTGATTCGAAGATAAAATCGACAGTTGCTCCGTTTATGTTCAACGTTGTGGATTCTATTTCTATGTCTTTAGGAAATGCAAATCATTTTTCAGCTGCTGCAGAAATTGATTTATTTAGCATCATATACTTAAATTCTCTTCGATAATTAGCACAACTAATCAACCGCACATTCCAAAATGTATCATTCGATTTCGAACTCTTCAACTAATTAACTTGTAAATACAAGATATTGGGCCGGCAACCCTGAGAAACGACCCCGAGATCTTGGTATCATATGTTACCTTGATCTCCACTGCAAAAGTGATACCAAGATCTCGGGGTACGAGAGTGAGGAGTGAGAAGACAGAGGGACCGAATGTAGAAGGAGATGGAGGAGAGAGAGAGAGAGACCATGGAAAGAGGTGAATTATTGAAAATGAGTAGGCGGACTAGTTTGAAACGTAAAAGCGGCCAAAAATATATGAGCACTCACCATTATATTGCTATTAAGAATTGAGATTTAAACAAAAACGCAGTCATTTATTCTCCACATTAACATCAAATGTAAAGATGAATGACTATGCATTCTTTGGTGACCAAGAGAAAGAGACGAACCAAGAGGAATGCAGGGACCCTCATACTACGAGTGAGTTTAATTAATAACAAAAATATGGACCTTCAAATGAAGATCCGACATTTTAATGCATAACCTACAAATGATGTACAAACCAACAAAAATTACAATATGATTCATCTGTAAATAAATAATAAGCATTCGTTCTATTTCAAATAATAATGCTGAGTCCATTGGTGACTAAGAAAATAAGACTCATAAGACCATATCAACAAAAACTAAAGGATAAGTTCAACATGTTGGATTACATGATTACAACACAACCTACCAAAAAAGAGAGAAATTACGCAAGAAACAAAATCACTATGACGTTTTAATTTGATGGAATTGTGTCCATCTATATTTTTTGTCTCTTTCA